TTCCTTCCTTCCTTCCTTCCTTCCTTCCTTCCTTCCTTCCTTCCTTCCTTCCTTCCTTCCTTCCTTCCTTTCTCTCTCTCTCTTTTTCTTTCTTTCTTTTTCTTCCTTCCTTCCTTTTTCTTCCTTCCTTTCTTCATTTCCTCCCTCCCTCCCTTCCTTTTCTTTTTCTTTCTTTCTTTTACTTCCTTCCTTCCTTCTTTTCTTTCTTTTATACTTAGTATACTGTGATTCACCTGGTCACAATCCAAAAATCAGATAGCAAACAGAATAAAAATAAATTCATTTTATTTCAAATGATATTAAATAATTAGCTAATAAGAAATTTATTAATTTTCTCCCTCTCCTGGATTTCTAAAGAGTTCTGCCCAAAAATCTGAGGCAATCTGAAGCTTTAGATTCATCTACAATCAATGTTGACATTGTCCAGATGACCTTTAATAGGTAATATGCAAAAGAACCTAAATTCATATCCAAAATGTTTAAAGGGAACAAATAATAATTTTGTCAGTTCTCAACAGCTCTCTATGACACCATTAACTAACAAAATGTTCTAGAATCAAACTTACCTTGGAGTTCCCAGAAATCGCTGTGATCTAAGTCGTTCAGCCATATATAGCGACACTGCTATTACTAGTAGCTCTCTTTTTTCAGAGTCTTCCAATCTGTGCCCTAGATTTCAAAACCAAATTTCAAATGTATTATATGTATCACCACCTTATTTATGTTCTATAATTCATTTTAGTTAGAACAGGGATTACTATGTGTTTGTGGTCAATGGGCACATAGGAAATTTTAAAGCATGTCACAACGTTTATCATAACTTCTTGCAAGAAGATTGTTCCTCATACAATTTTTTTATTACTTGTGAAATTATTTTTCAGTATGTATATGTTACCATCAATGTGTGAAATTAGATATTTTATAGAATGCCAAAACTGGGGCATCAAAGTATGGAAGACTTAATATTTCACACATTTCCTCGGTATTCTATGCAATGCCAAAAGGCAAACCAGCAAAGTATAAAATACTTTGTAGTATAAAATACTCCCACTAAAATGCCATTCTAACCTTCCTTGTTGCAACAAGTGGGTCAATACTGGTCTTTTTCTCTTGTTTTTCCATTAAGAAAGTTTTGTACTTTATTTTGCATTTTTCTTTCATTTTCATATACATCTTTTAAATAAAAGGTTACGGTTAGGGTAATCCTGACCCTTTTCATGACTTTCTTCTCATGCCTAGATAGTTCTTGTCATTCTGCATAATGCCTAGGCATTATATATAATAACTATATTATATATAATGCGTAGGGAAAGTATATAGCACATGAAAATAACACAGCCATTTCATACTTTGCTTAAAAATGTGATACATTCTATAGATTTCCTAGGCATTTTATACAATGGCAGCTTTTCACACATCTTGCCAGTAACATATACACCACCTAGTATACAAAATCTCTCAATGTTTTCCCCTATAAAGGTTAAAACCAAAAAACTAGATGGGACAGTTAGTATCTTAAGAAATAAAACAAATTTCATAGGCTGGAATATCAGCTGAAAATAATAAAATAAAATTTAATGGAGTCATACACGCTTCTTCACTTGGGGAAGAAAAGATCAAATTATTTATAAAATGGGGGATTTATCATATGAAAATAGAACCAGAAATAGATCTTAGAACAGCAGTTGATTGAAAATGGAACAGAGGTTAGCAGTAGAAGGTACATACAATTTTAGGCTACATCAACTAATTTAATTTCCAAGTCACTGGGAAAAAATATTCCATTCTTTTCTGCTTTGATCAGATCCCACTTAAAATATTCTCTGAGCACCACAATTTATTTATTTTTTTAAATAAATTTTATTGATTTTACAATTAAAACAAACCAACAACACATACATAAATGAAAGAGAGAAAAAGAAGGGAGAAGAAAATAAAAACAAAAAAATAGAAAACAATTAAAAACATTCTCATCAACAATTTGTAAGACCTCTTTTTTATCCTTATTTTATGCCATATACACACACCTAATCCTTACATATATCTGTGTATCACTACTATGGATTTATCCTATCCTCTTTTGCCTTTTAGTGGGAAATCTATCTTAGGTCTATCCATTTGTACCAGCAGTTCCAGCTGTTGTAGTATATTGAAGTGTCTTTATTTTTTAATGCCAAAGTTAATTTGTCCATTTCTGCACATCTTGAAATTTTTTGAATGATCATCTCTTCTGATGGAACATGAGGCTGCTTCCAATATTGTGCAAAAGCCAATCTGGCCGCTGTCAAAATGTGTATTATATATTTCACTTTTTTTGATATTTGTTTATCAAAGATCCCTAACAGAAAGGACTCTGGTTTGAATTCGATCTGTTCTCTTGTTATTTCTTCCAGCCAATTTCTAATTTTCTGCCAATATTTTTGAGTTTCTGAACAGGACCACCACATATGGAAGAAAGTTCCCTCTTTCTTTTTGCATTTCCAGCAATTCGGACTCATATTGGAGTGCATCTTCACTAATCTCGAAGGAGGAAGGTGCCATCTATAAAACATTTTATAGGCATTTTCTTTGTATGCTACCGATTTTGTAATTTTATTATTTCTACCCCAGACCTTTTCCCATTCTGTTATGGTGATGCTACGTCCTATATTCCTACTCCAGGCTATCATGTTCCCTTTTACAATTTCTTCTTCTAATTCTACTTCTAATAAATAATTATAAAATTTTGTTATATTTTTTTTGCCTGATCCTAATAAAATTTTATCTAATTGCTGGAGTTTATTGTTAATTCCAAATTCTTTCTTGTCCTGTTTATATCTACATTGAATTTGAAGATATGCCCACTGATCAATTTTTAGTCCCCGCTCTTGAAGTTCTTGCCACGATTTCAAATTTCCTCGTGTATCCAATAGATCCTTATATTTAATCATTTTAGTGATATCCAGATTATTTTGGTGAATCATTGCTTCCATTGTTGAAATCCAAATTGGTATTTTTAAATAGTATTTTTTCCATATTTTCTTCCAATTAGTTAATAATGAGTCTCTGATTAGGTGTCTGTGAAAGTATTTCTGGCTAATTTTCCCTACATCCCATAAAAAAGCATGCCATCCCCTTTGCAAGTCATGGCCTTCTAAGAATAATATTCTCTTATTGGTTAAATTCACCCATTCCTTCAACCATACTAAAGAGGCTGCACTATAATACAACTCCCAATTTGGAAGTGCCAGCCCTCCCCTCATATCCTGCATTGCCTTTCTGTTTTTCTGTTAAATTTTTAGTCATTAATTTTGTTTTCTTCCTATTAATTTTAAGTCCTGCTACTGCTCCAAATTGTTCTAATTCATTCATCACTTTTTGTCCTCTTTCTATTGGTTCCTCAATGAAAAAAACTGTATCATCCGCAAATGCTTGCAACTTATATTCTTCTTTCTTAACCTTTAATCCTTTTATGTCTGGGTTCTGTCTAATTCACATTAGTAATGCTTCTAATGATAATATGAAGAGCAGGGGTGAGAGTGGGCAGCCCTGTCTGACTCCTTTTTCCATTTTTATTGGGCGGGTATATTCCCCATTTATTATAATATTTGCCTGTTGTGTATAATAAATGGTTGTTATAATATTTTCAAATTTGGTGCCTAAATTCATATTATAATTTTTTTTTATTAAAAATTGCCAATTTAAATTATCGAAAGCCTTCTCTGCATCTAAAACCATAAGTGCAATTTGTTTTTCGGGGTGGGCTTTGTAAAATTCTAAGACATCTAGTACTATTCTTAAGTTGTTCCTGATTTGTCTGGTCAGGAGAAATCCATTTTGATCTTCATATATATGCTCATTTAACATTCTTTTTAGTCTACTTGCTATAATAGAAGTGAATATTTTTTAATCAGTATTTAACAGTGAAATCAGCCTATAATTATGTATATATCGGGGATCCGAATCCTCCTTCGGGATCAGCGAAATCAATGCCCCCCTCCATGAGTCTGGCACCCTGGCTGCCAATAAGACGTCCTTAAAAACTTCCACCATAAGAGGTCCTATTTGTTCTGCTATTGCCTTGTACAGCTCCCCTGGAATCGCATCTGGTCCTGGGGATTTATTGTTTTTCTGGTTCTCTATTGCTGATTTCAATTCAAACCAAGTAATGTCTTTGTTTAATAATTTTTCCATTTCTTCCCCAATTGCTTTATCCTTCATTTCATCTAAATAGTTTCTTATTCTATCTTCGTTAACTTCTTCCTTTTTATATAACTCTTCAAAATATTTATGGGCAATTTCTTTTTTCTGTTCTATCTCCTGTTGTATATCCCCCTTTCCATCTATTAGCTGGTATATCAATCTCTTTTCTTTCCTTTTTTTTTAGTCTATATGATAGCCATCTCCCTGGCTTATTAGCATGCTCAAAATAAGTTTGTCTAGTTGTATTCAAATTTATAATCATTCTCTCTTGTTCAATCAAATTCAGTTTATGTTTAGTTATTATTATCTGCTTTTGCAATTTTGAATCCTTTGGGGTACTCTGTAATTGAGTTTCTAATTCCTTAATTTTTTGTTGTAATTTGTTTTGCTGGGTGTATTTTTCCTTATTCCTCTTGGCGTTATAAGAGATTGTTATACCTCTTATTACTGCCTTCATTGTATCCCAAATGTTTTGTTTCGTAGTTGCTCCATTATCATTTTCCTTTAAGAAATAATTTAATTCCTCCTTGAGTTTGTTGGTGTGTTCTTTTTCTCTTATTAACTGAGTATTTAAGATCCATCTTTTCTTGGGTTTTTCCCTACCCTTCCATATTATCTGAATTAGATTGTGATCTGCCCATTCATTAGGTAAAATTTCAATCCCTTTTATCTCATTTGCTATTTCCCCATTTATCCATGCCATATCAATTCGTGTCCATATTTGATGAGGATTTGAATAGAATGTAAATTGTTTTTTCTCGGGATGTGATCTTCTCCATATATCAATCAAATTTAACTCCTTCGTCATTTCCATACTTATCTTGGGAAGCTCTCTTTTTCCCCCTTTGTTCTTCCCCCCATTACTGTGGTCTTTTTGATAATCAGTAATAGAATTAAAGTCTCCTATGATACAAATATTTCTTTTTTCCAATCCTACTATTTTTCCATAAAGATGCTTAAAAAACTCTTTTTGATCTCCGTTCAGGGCATAGATTACCACTAAAAGAATTGGGATGGCATTAATCCAGATCTGCAAACCCAGAGTTCTTCCCTCAGAATCCGACCGTATTAAATCTGCTTTCAAATCCTCTTTAACATATACTGCAATCCCTTTCTTTTTGCCCATGTCTGCTGGTGCGGTAAATAGCTTCCCTAATTTCGGACATTCTAGGTATTTTTCATCTGTTTTCTTTATATGAGTTTCTTGTAGGCATATTATATCAGCATTTTGTTTGATTAGTTTAGCTATTATCCTTTTCCTTTTTATCGTCGAGTTTAAACCATTTATATTAATTGATAGTAGTTCCTTTTCTTCTTCTGTTTAATTAATTCTGTTTTGCTCTTTGTCTTGTAATGGCTCTGGTCTCTCCTTGTGCCTGAAGATGTGTCCTATTTTGTTCTCTCTCCTGATGTAGATGAGTATTTCCTTGATTTCCTAAAGTTCCATCTCTGTTCTTATGATAGCCTTGATCTTCCTGGGAGTTTGT